CATAGAGGACTTCCTAACTTTATAAGTTATTCACAATCATGTTCTGTTCCATCTACAATGCATGTTTCATATGGAGTGATTTAATAATGTCATGACTGCTTTACAGTAATGAAGAAATGTTTATTCTTGAAATGCCTGATTTCAGATCTGAAATACCCATATACCTATTTTCATCATCAATTGAATTGTAAAGGTTCAATAATATTGATATTTCATATTTTTATGGAATATTACATTTTATTGAATACCTTTTAAATTTTATTGACAATTTATTAAAAGTAACCACTTACAAAATGTTACAATGTACGCGGTAGAATTCCACCTGGTGTATGTTGGGTATTTTATAATTGTATCTTTTTGAGGCCTAAAAGATGCCCAATTTGTGTTATTAACACTTCATGAATCTCTGTGTTTGCCAACTGTGGCTGTTTATGAAATGTTGAGCAGAGTAGCTCGTTTGCAGTCAAGGATGTTGATTGTGGATTTCCAAAGAAACCTCTGTACCTCTGTAACCTGAGAAGGCCCTGCCTTCTCCATCCTTTGCTAAATAAAACCCCTGGCAAACTGAGAACACATGGGAGTGACGTGGCGACAGCCTCGGAGGAGGTTTTCCCTGCGTTAACTCTCCATCATTTTGGGGACTCAGGGTAAAATGTCTCTTTGTTGTCATGTGTGTTATTTCAGGTTCCAGGGTTATGGAGATTAAATATTTCCCACATTTAATTACCTAACATTTTGGTGGAGAATGCGGGCATGCAGAGCTGGTGAGCTGAAGGCTGTGTCCGGAGCAGAGGGGGGCTGGTTAGCTCCATGGAGGGGGTTTATGCGCCCAGCTCTCGCATGACGATTCATGGACATTACGAATAATCTACTCTCTCTCTCTCTGTGTCGTCCTTTAAGGTAATGTGGGATAAATGAAAAATTACCTATCAGTGTACACCTCTTGAATCAGTTTGTGTGGAGGTTGTCCCAGCTGTACATGAGTAGTTCTTCCTTGATCCTTGTGCTAGTTTTGAAAAGAGATTCTATTTTTCATGCTTTTGTTTGAGTGTCTAAAAGTGTCCAGTGCCTTTGTTCTACTAAATGTAGATAATGAGCCAAACAAGGTACATTGCATAACCCGAGTACAAGTGCAAATACGTAAATCAATGTGTTTGAATTACAATGTAAAGATTTTACGTCAGTAGTACCTACATTTCTCTCCCTGTTTATAAATCAAAATAAAAATAGCAAAAATGAATCAGCAAAATCTCCTCCTACAAACCCACAAAGTTAGGATGAGTTGTGCCTTTTTATAAGAATTCAGAATATATCCCCGCCCTGAATTCATAACTGACGCGAAGTGTCGGCAAAACGTGTGTGACGTCATGAAGTTTCATTTGGAATATCACATATGCAAGGTGAAGCGAGGCACCGAGACCACAACAGCGGCACTTCTGCTTTGAAAGATCAAAACAGGAGTCAAGCCGCTTGCTTGAGCCTAACATCACTAGTCCACTCTTCCTCAATAGCTGTAAAGTTGCTGAGTGTTGGCAGGGACTGGAACAAGCTATCATGTGCACTAATCCAGAGCATCCCAGACATTTTCAATGGGTGATATGTACAGCGATTATGCTGGCCAAGCACAAACTGGGATGTTTTCAGATTCCAGAAATTGTGAACAGATCCTTGCAAAATGGGGGTTTGAACTCTAATGCTGCAACATGAGGTGATGGTTGTGGATGAATGGCACAACAATAGGCCTCAGGATCTTGTCACAATATCTCTGTGGATTCAAAATGCCATCAATAAAATGCACCTGTGTTTGTTGTTCATAACCTACACCTGCCCATGCCAGAACCCTAGCGCCACGTCACTGGTGCCCCTTTCACTACTCATCGTTGTGATCTGTACTCACTCGTTAACTGGCCATCATTCCATTCCCACAGGTTGGTACATTGGTACCAGTTCATATGCAAAACAATCATCAGTAGAACCCCGTCACATCTTTGCTCATTACTCATCACTTCCAACAACCAGCTCTATTTACGTTCCAGTAACTTCGTCTCTGTGGTTATTTCCAAAGCTCGCACCTCATTCCAGTTTGCTGCTTTCTAATGACTAGAATGAGCTGCAAAAACCACCAACGCTCATACCTACATTCCATTATCTACCTTCAATAATTCATTGCAATTAATAGTTTCTGATCAATGTGCTTCTGAGCACTTCGACTGTTTTAAGTCTGTTTTGATAGCTTGTGCATACTGTATACGAGAACAGTCCTTAGCCTTTATGTCTAATTGGTTTATCTTATTTGTTTTATCTTGTTAGTTTTTATCTTATCTCTTTTTCTTTCATGTAAAGCAAACTATGTGTCTGTTTCTGCTGCCTCTTGGCCAGATTGTCATTGGAAATGAGAATGAGTTCTCAATTGACTCATCTGGTTAAATAAATAAAACTATGGACCACTCGATCCACAAAGTTGATGTCAGCTGATCGCTCACCCGCACGATCCCACACA